AAGTGATATAAGCGTGAGCAAGTAACTGGAGAGTGATGTGAGCAAGTGAGATAAGCGTGAGCAAGTAACTGGAGAGTGAGCAAGTAACTGGAGAGTGAGCAAGTTATATAAGTGAGCAAGTAACTGGAGAGTGAGCAAGTGATATATGAGCAGTAACTGGAGAGTGAGCAAGTGATATAAGCGTGAGCAAGTTACTGGAGAGTGAGCAAGTAACTGGAGAGTGAGCAAGTAACTGGAGAGTGAGCAAGTGATATAAGCGTGAGCAAGTTACTGGAGAGTGAGCAAGTAACTGGAGAGTGAGCAAGTGATATAAGCGTGAGCAAGTAACTGGAGAGTGAGCAAGTAACTGGAGAGTGAGCAAGTAACTGGAGAGTGAGCAAGTGATATAAGCGTGAGCAAGTACTGGAGAGTGAGCAAGTAACTGGAGAGTGAGCAAGTAACTGGAGAGTGAGCAAGTAACTGGAGAGTGAGCAAGTAACTGGAGAGTGAGCAAGTAACTGGAGAGTGAGCAAGTAACTGGAGAGTGAGCAAGTAACTGGAGAGTGAGCAAGTGATATAAGCGTGAGCAAGTAACTGGAGAGTGAGCAAGTAACTGGAGAGTGAGCAAGTAACTGGAGAGTGAGCAAGTAACTGGAGAGTGAGCAAGTATACTGAGCAAGTAACTGGAGAGTGAGCAAGTGATATAAGCGTGAGCAAGTAACTGGAGAGTGAGCAAGTAACTGGAGAGTGAGCAAGTAACTGGAGAGCGTGAGCAAGTACTATAGAGTGAGCAGTGATACTGGAGTGAGCAAGTTACTGGAGAGTGAGCAAGTAACTGGAGAGTGAGCAAGTGATATAAGCGTGAGCAAGTAACTGGAGAGTGAGCAAGTAACTGGAGAGTGAGCAAGTGATATAAGCGTGAGCAAGTAACTGGAGAGTGAGCAAGTGATATAAGCGTGAGCAAGTTACTGGAGAGTGAGCAAGTAACTGGAGAGTGAGCAAGTAACATAAGTGTGTGCAAGTAACTGGAGAGTGAGCAAGTAACTGGAGAGTGAGCAGATTATATAAGCGTGAGCAAGTAACTGGAGAGTGAGCAAATTATATAAGCGTGAGCAAGTAACTGGAGAGTGAGCAAGTAACTAGAGAGTGAGCAAGTAACTGGAGAGTGAGCAAATTATATAAGCGTGAGCAAGTAACTGGAGTGAGCAAGTAACTGGAGAGTGAGCAAGTGAGCAAATTATATAAGCGTGAGCAAGTAACTGGAGAGTGAGCAAATTATATAAGCGTGAGCAAGTAACTGGAGAGTGAGCAAATTATATAAGCGTGAGCAAGTAACTGGAGAGTGAGCAAATTATATAAGCGTGAGCAAGTAACTGGAGAGTGAGCAAATTATATAAGCGTGAGCAAGTAACTGGAGAGTGAGCAAATTATATAAGCGTGAGCAAGTAACTGGAGAGTGAGCAAATTATATAAGCGTGAGCAAGTAACTGGAGAGTGAGCAAGTGATATAAGCGTGAGCAAGTAACTGGAGAGTGAGCAAGTGATATAAGCGTGAGCAAGTAACTGGAGAGTGAGCAAATAACTGGAGAGTGAGCAAGTGATATAAGCGTGAGCAAGTAACAGTAGCCTAAAAAATGTCCAGGAGTGTGAGCAACAAGATCAGACGGATGTGTTAACAAATAAAGGAGTGAAAACCTGAGTGATAACGAATAACTGCATGAAAATATGGAGTTTAAGAAACAAAATAGCAACAGGAGGAAACATAATAATAGGGCGCATCATACAAGATAACAGATTACATAAGAGCAACGTATACCAGAGAAGGTAACAGGCATAAGAATAGGACTGGTGCCAATGACCTCGTGTAATCTTGTTTTCGGAATGCCAGTAAGGGGAAAAACCATCTTGATCCTCACGATAATGACAGAGTAAGTAAGATATTGTTGCGCATAGGCTAGCAGAACAAACAAGTCGATACTCATAGCGAGTAACAAACAAACACAACATGGAAACAGTAGCCCAAAGGCGCCAGTGTAAAATAACAATGTGCAGACGACTTCGTGACATCCTATATTTTCTTTGTACGCAGTAAATGTTTCTTAGAGCCTAACTGCGAAAGATCATTTAAAATAAAAATTAAAAAAACCAGGCAGTTTACGTCATTGAGTTTTCTGAATTGATACATGCCAAGGCAGATGTGGTCAAGGCCCTTTGGGAACAAGCAACGGAATCAGTAGAGAAAGAAGATTATTATGGCCAGCAGAGAATGAGGCATCTGGGTGTAACCAGAGGGTCAGGCCGGCACACTACACTCAGAGGAAAGGCAAGACGGACATGTAACCATACTGTGACCGGTACCACCAGTATTGGAACTCGGCGCTGGCTGCTGAGGATGGGGAGCATGCATGGGAATGCCCCAAGTGCTGTGATGTCAATTCTTGACTCAACTCTCTGCCAAGAACAGATGCCTAATGCCATACTTACCGAGATACAAAGGCCATCTTTTGCAGGTAACATACTCCCAGTCTGACCTGGGCTAACTGAAAACATTAACTCAGTCTATTAATGACATAAATGAAACTGACCCTGAATACATCCTTCGGGACTGATCAAATCATCTCTGATGCTTGACGCGGTCAGAGGATGCAAAGAAGCAGCCGTTACAAGCTGTTTCTCAACCCCCCCCCCCCCCTTTTTTTTTCCCCCCTTGATTGTCTGAGTTCATTTAAATACCAGGACTAGGGCTGACGAATTGTTTTTTGTTTGTTTGTTGGGGGTGGGGGGGGGGGGTAGAGAAGATAATTAAACACACACACACTGAAACGACTTTACACACACATATACACACACACACACACACACATATATATATATATATATATATATATATATATATATATATATATATATATATATATATATATATATATATATATATATATACAAACACAATATATAAAACTGGACTACCATATATTTGATAAATTATCTGATGCTTGACGCGGTCAGAGGATGCAAAGAAGCAGCCGTTACAAGCTGTTTCTCTCTTCTCCCCCCCCCCCCCCTTTTTTTTTTTCCCCCTTGATTGTCTGAGTTCATTTAAGAACCAGGACCAGGGCTGTCGAATTTTTTTTTTTTTTGGGGGGGGGGGGGGGGGGGTGTTTAGAGATAATTAAACACACACACACACTTAAACGACTTTACACACACACACACACACACATATACACAAACACAATATATAAAACTGGCCTACCATATATTTGATATTGAATTACAATTCCTGTTTTTACATTACATCACTGCTGTATTATCTTTTGAAGAAAAAAATATTTCGCTAGTTGAATAGGTCTGCTTTAGATGTTTTATGTATAATAATAAATAGAAACCGTCCGCTGCTTTGGGTGTTAGTGTCCTGGACATCACGTTAACTCGCCTGGCTTAAATAGATGTTAAACCTCATTGATCCCTAACTGTTTCAAGTAATTTTGTGACAGATAATTGGGACTTTAATCTCATATTTCATAGTAGCCACTTTATGTGTTTATAAGATGTCACTTTAGGCCTAATCGAGCCCATTCTGCGCTGTGTATCCACATCTTATAATTCTCACCCCCAAGACCGGCTCGCTATCGTAGTTGGCTAAAACTGACTTTGCGGTGACCTGGTGACGAACTCTTTGTGGTTTGGGTTCACGTCCGGGGGTAGGCAAAAAAGCCAAATTTGTCCCAGATTTACGGTGTCTATCATGGAATCAAGGCCGAAGCGTTGCGATATCCAAAGTACCGAGCCTAACGGTTAACAACTCATTGCTTCTTGATACTTTTTAAAAAACATTCTCATCCTGATCTAATTTTGATTTAAGCTCGCTGCTTCCTGATTGGGAAATACTTACCTTTAAAATTAATTAGCCATCAGACACTAACTGTGGTTTGAGGAAATCCGCCTCAGTGCTTCTCGTGGAGAAGCAGTTGAAGTAAGAGAAGCATACTTTAGTAGAATTCAGCTAGAGCAGTGGTTCCTGTAAGCTAAGACCAGTAGACCTCTCTTGTTTCTGTAGGCCTGCTATGGACCCCATGTTTGTGAAAGTCATATTGAAATACTTAGAATAATGTATGAGTATTGTAATCGCAGCCAGAACTGTTTTCTAATGTTCAGCGTTTTTTGTTTTGTTTGCAATGATATTACTGAACTCTTAAATGAGTTCACTATGGAATCCGCGCCTTGTGTTGGTTTCGACAGTGGTATCAGGGGGCCGACCGTCCAGATATCAATGGCAAACCACTGGACGTAAATTTGCCTAGAGAAACCACACAACAACGAGGGGCTGCTGGGGTTGGATCTGCAACGTCCTGTAAAGGATACGCAACTAAAATTTATTTATTTATGGGATCCGCGGCCCACCAAATTGGAAACACTGAGCCAGAGGAAACAGTTTACTATAGCAAGCTGACGACTCTTTTTTTTTTCTTTCCGTGACAGTCTATTCGTTTCTCTCTCTCTCTCTCTCTCTCTCTCTCTCTCTCTCTCTCTCTCTCTCTCTCTCTCTCTCTCTCTCTCTCTCTCTCTCTCCCCCCCCCTGGATCTCATAATTGTTTATAAATGTGTTTGCATACCTGCGGAGGCACTTTTCGATAAACATTTAGGGGATCACAACCATTCAGACTGGATGACCTTAATTCGTATAAGATAAACTGTGCCCTTCCACTTCCTCCCACCCCTACGCCTCTCCATTGTTGTTTCCTTGAAGCGCGAGAAATGTCTCTATATTGTCTTTTACTATGTGTGCTTGACTCTTGCAGCCGTCCACCCCAGCATCTCTCTTTCCTCCATCATATGTGTATGTAAGTGTGTATGTATGTCTGTCTGTGTGTGTGTGCGCGCGCGCGTGCGTGCGTGCGTGCGTGTGTGTGTGTGGGGGGGGGGAGAGAGAGAGAGAGAGAGGCAATATGAGGCAATATAATATATTGTCCGAAGTTATAAATGTGAACCTAACAGATATTTCTCTGTGATGTTTTTAGCGGTTGTTCCATTGGTGGACAGCTACGTGTTCTTGAAAGTCAATGAAACAACCGAGAACGTCTTAATTGAGGAGGAAACAGTGGACGCCGGGTAAGTTGTCATATTGACGTCTGTCATTCGGGTGTGCTTTTTTGTGGGCGTGTGAAGATGCCTGTGGTTGACTGACTGACTGACTTTCTACCCCACCAGGACATCACACAAGCGATAAACACCCGATGACACAAAATGCCATCATGTGGATTAGGATCGCCGTGGAGAGGTCCCAGAAACCGCGTTCAGACAATTTGCCATATTTATGGCCTGCCTATATTGCGGCCCCTGGCAAAAGCCAGGGTGGGGCTTCAAATAACCAAAAATTTCGTCCTAAAAAGGACGAAGCATGTATCATCCGAAATATAGCCTGTGGTTTTTGTTTCAGTAACTATATCACATGAATAACAAGGTAGTTTCTGTCTGTTAGCGAAGTTCCCTTTTTGAATTATTTTTTCCCCGTCTGTTTGGTTGACTTACCTACGGTGTGCGGACCAGCAGTATTTGTTTGAAAAAAGGAGTTGCGCACACAAAACTTATATGTACATATTTCAAATATCATTACTGTACTATTTGCATTTTATATTCTACGACACAGGAAGAAAAGGAAGCTATATATTTACTATATATATATATCATGGACAATAAAGGACCCTTTTCACACCATCTGCATTGGCCATGTGATGCTAGATTCATAATGTATAGATCAATCGATACTCGCTAGAATATGCGCTAAACACCACACCGACCCCTTTACTTCCCCGGACATTCTCTAATATCAGTTTTAGGCAAGGTCGACTCAGGAGCCAGTTTATATTTTTTTTAAAACCTGTCCTAATACGGATTTGAACCCAAATCCTTCGGGACGGCTGCCAATAGTCTAGCCATTGCGCTTCTGTGGCGTATGAATGCAACCGTAACAATGCCATTGAAAAATCATTCAAATTTGAAATATAAACGCACCGACTACGGTAGTGTGGATTTTAAAATAAGCAACCGCTTTAGTGAATGAATCTGCTTTCCTAGACACATTTTGGGAGGGAAAAGGGGGTGGGGGGGGGGGCCTAAAGACACAAAAATAGAATTGCAGCCAGTAATAGATGCACAGCTTGCGTCAGTGTCTGCTAACGATTGGTGATGAATACGAACAGCAGGACATTATAGTGTGTAAACAAGCCAAAGAGCTACAGAAAATGATTGTGTAAACATAAAGATAATGATTGTGTAACACACACAATGCAATCAGGAGCTACCTGAAAGAGTAACCTGTCGACCAAACTTCTGTAGTAACCAACAAAACAAGAATTACTGTCTATTACTGCAGGAACAAACTCTAACGATCCCACTGAAGAATAACGTAATAACCCTTGACTGGAAAAAAATAAAAAATAGTAGACACACACTTGCAACCACATACTGTCACCGAAAAAGGCAGTATTTTCGCAGAAAAGCAGATGCTATCATCATCGCCATCATCATTATCAGATGTCTCGCCGACTGGCGTGAGCGATCATGTCTAGAATAACCTGTGAGCTCCAACATTATTGACGAGCAGAAGTGCTGATACATCTCCCTGGCATGCAGTCAAGAATCTTCGCACGCTGCCTCCAAATCTTCCCCAGTGGTCACAATATGTTCCGTTTCCTCTCTTCTGATAGTATGGACCGCCAACTATCAATTGTCTCTTTCTGGTGTTTATGATAAGTTGTCTTGGGGGCCTTGCCTCTTTCAGAACATCTGGGTTACTTGTTTTTAAAGTTGTCCAGAGAATTAGTTTCCATCCTGCAAATGCCAATTTAAAACGTCAGGTCATGCTAACTCCCCCTTCCCCACCCCACAAATAAATAACATATGGAACGTTCATGTTTTCCTACACTAAATTGTGTTGTCACTGCTTGAGTTATTCACACTGTAAATGCCACTTCAAGATGGAACCCACGTTCACACGCAATTTATTACCATCGACCCCCTCCCCTTTTCCCCATCCTAAACCAGATTCTCTCGTTCTCCCAGAGTCGCCCAGCCTGTGAGCTCAGGCACCTCTTTAGCCACCCACCCCCCAAAAAAAATTTCAGTGGGGTAAATGCGCACCCACCCCAACCTCCATGTATACACGTTCTCTTTTTAGGTATTTGTTTTAATATTTCATATAACTGCATATATCTTATACTATTTATTTGTCATTCAGCACATTATTATCATTATTGCACACTTAAACAAGGCTTAAACACCCCTCCCCGGCAGACCCCTAGATTTATATATTTTCTTTGTTGCAGTGTATTATCGTCTAATTAATTCATGCTTATTGATATAGGGCCACCTTCAATCGAATATTCTGGAATATCCGTTTGCATCATCCGTACCAATAAAATAACATGCACGATAATTTACTTTCACAAAGATGAAGTCTTTGATTTCTTTCCTGTAACTTAGTATCGTGTTTTTTCCCCTCTCCTGCTAGCCATTAACATAAATATATTCTCTCTGTGTGTGCATGTTCTCTAAAACAGAAATAAGATTTACATTTCAGCAAAATAATTTATGTTTACCTTTTGTTGTGAGGTCATTTGTCTTCCGAATGTATATTTACCCGTTGCTCCCATAACAAGTATGTTGTAAAAGGCGACTGGTTGGGAGTTTTCTTAAATCGGGTGTGCTGTATCGAAATGCGCAGATTTCACAGCCTTGCTGTAAACCACAGTACAACGCGCCAACCTTAAAAAAAAAAAATACAAACTTTTCATTCCCCCTCCCCCCCCCCCCCCCCCCTATTTTATTACCCATCAGTCGGTCCGATCCGCACAATTTGCGCCCTGTTATCCCGATCAAGTCGGCTCTGTGGCTAAGTCGATGCGAACGCTTCGTAATGCCGGGGTGCCGGGTTCGATCCCAGCTGCAGGCCATGCGCCTTGCGTTGGTTTCGACAGTGGTATCAGGGAGCCGACCGTACAGTGGGCAATGGCAAACTACTTGACGTAAATTTGCCTAGAGAAACCACACAACAGCCAGGAGCTGCTGGGGTTGGTTCTGTAACGTCCTGTAAAGGATACGCAACTAACCTAACCTAACCTATCCCGGTCCGCGAAATAGTTCTCCTATTCTCCCGGTCCGCGAATGTAAACAGATTGAAGAACGCTGGTTTGTTGTTGTTGTTTGTTTCAGTATCCAGAAGCCATGAGTAAGAATGCTGGTTTAGACGAGTAGGTGTTGACACTAAGCTGACCAGTTCCTTTCTCCCCTACTTTATATTTTAGGTTCGGTCGATTTCACTTAGTAGTGAAAGTTACACTTAAAGGTAGGTTTAGATTTAGATGATGGATCAACATCATGGCACAAGGATAGTAACCCATAAGTGCTTCGTTCTACTTCTGGCTCAAGCTCGAGTCCGAAGATTCTCAGTGCAGTGCACCCACTCCGCAGCACCGGCGAGGATCCTGAAATACTTTGGGTTAATTTTTAACTCCAAATTTTGCCCTGGCAGCGCTGTTAGGCTACTCTTTTCGATGTCCAACTGGCAAGTTATTTTTTACCTGCACAACAATACACACGGGCGTCCGATCTTACTACACAGTGACCAGGTGGAATTACTAGAAGCCCACGTGCAAAAATCCCAACCTTCGCCGGGGCTTAAACCCGGAATCTCCAGCACTCGAGACGGACGCCTTGCCTCGAGACAAGTAGCCCCCGAATTATAGGCCCAGTAAACCACTTGACACTAGGGGAGCCGCAATGGTGTAGCAGCTAGACATTCGCCTGCTGATCCGAAGGTCGTGGGTTCAGATCCGGACGTAGCTTTACTTTTTTTTTCTTTAAATGACCAGCCTTTATGGGTACCAAGTAAAGTTTGGGAAGTAAACGCGACCGGCGTGATGTTGACCACACTATACGCGCAATACGCATGAAGGCGTGGTAAAGGGTACTTTACTTCTACTCGACTGTCTACTTGACCACTATCCCTCTGGAAAGACGCAAAGTTAGAGCGGGTAAAAAATTCAACCTGCCACATCTGGGGATGAAACCCGGATCACTGTCCTGCTCAGCAAGCGCACTAACAACTGCGCCACTGAAATTAAGTGAAGTGTGTTCATCAGAAAATCTCTGGCTGTGGAAAAAGTAAGCCAGCAAAACAATGAACATTTAACGATGATGCACTGTGACGGAAGCAAGTGGTAAAACCTCTCCAGGCTTGTGTGTCTGCAAGTGATATTTTGTTGTCTCGCTTGCGTGCTTGTATATTCTCGCCGTTGTATTTTTTATCAGTTTGTCGAGTTCTTGTTTTATTATTGTTATTTGTCTGCTGTTCAGTTTACGTATTTAAATCCCCTCCCATTTTCCACCCATCTCTCTCTTACGTGTATGTATGTGTTTCTTTCTCCCTTATTTCTTTCTCTCTCTCTCTCTCCTCTCTCTCTCTCTCTCTCTCTCTCTCTCTCTTTGTCTGTCTGTCTCTCTCTTTATATTTGTAGTTATGTACCTGTGTGCTTTTCTCTGTTTTTGTTTCTCTGTCTCTCTTTACTCTGTTTTATGCCTCTGTTATTTTTCTCACTCCATCTTTATAATTATCTCTAAATTTCTCTGTTTTCTGCCTCTGTTATCTGTCTCACTCCATCTTTATACTTGTCTCTCTTTTCTGTCTGTCTCTCTATGTATCGCTTTCTCGTTGTCTCAGTTTCTCTGTCTCTTTTTTATTTCTGTTTTCTGTCTGTCTGTGTATAATGTCACACTCTATCAGTTTCCCTGTTTCTGTCTGTTTTTCTGTCTGCTTCTCTCTGTCTCCGTCTTTCTCCTTCTCTCTTCCTTCCTCTTATTATTATTAGTATTGTGTGTAAAACACACACACACACTCACAGAAAATGTGATTATGTTGTTATATTTTAAAAGGATTAAAGCGTTTTTTGCACTGCTGACATGACATGTCTACAACTGTTAATGAAATGAGTTATATAATATACAAGGGACATCATGTCACCAGTCAGTCAAAGACTGTGCAGGTTCTGTGCTCGGCTCAGCAGGACCACTCATTCAGTTAAATTATACTCCCCTGTATTTCCATTACTGTGACCTGGCAGCGAAGAATGGGGGTTTTTGGAAAGCTTTTTCTATACACATACGTTTCAGTTTTCACAACGCCGTTGTGCATGGTGCAGATTAGGTTTTTATTAGGTTTTAGTGTCTGTCTGTGTGTGTATTTTACATCATATTCATACTATGTATATTGTTTTATGAAATATAACATGCTTTATAGATAAAATGCAGTTGCAGTGTGAAAGATGAGTGTTTGCAAGAGCCGAATGTGAGACGGGCCTGCGAGCAAGTATATAACCTTTGATGATCCTTAGAAAATACAGTTTGTTCGTTCTTTCTTTCTGTCTAAAAAAATATTATTTCCATGATGCCGTGGATTTCCCCAGGTTTATTGCAGTTACTATACTTAGTATTATTCTTGATTACTGTAGGTATAGAGAAAATGTATGCGTTTGTAATTGAGACTTAGGCGTTGTTGCTGTTTATTATTAACTGCTGTATGAATGGAATAATGTGTGTAAGTTGTGAGGTCACACGAACAAAATGTTAGACGCACCAGCGTGCCCAATTCTTAACCCTCTGAAAATAAAGTGGTTTCTGTCTACATGTTTGTCAGTGAATCTGTCTGTCTGTCTATTTCTCTTTGCCTGTCTGTCAATCTATCTGGCTTTCTGAATGTCTGTCTGTCTGTCTATTTCTCTTTGCCTGTCTGTCAATCTATCTGGCTTTCTGTATGTCTGTCTGTCTGTCTGTTGAGAATGTAAAGTTCGTTTTTCCTGCCTGTCTCTATCTGCCTGCCTCCATGTTATATATGCTTGATTGGTTTATCATCAATAAGGACTACGCAGTTGCAGTAGTTGTAGTGGTGGTGGTAGTAGCAGTATAAGTATTAGTAGTAGCAGCAGCTGCAGGAATAGTAAAAGCAGTACACTAGTAATGTTAGCATGAGCAAAACAGAATAAGTGTTATCGCTCATAGTTGCAGTGGTCTCGGCAGTAGATGGAACCGTTTAAATGTTAAGGTTATTTTCTGCCTTGGTGTGCACGTACCTCGCTGTATTTATGAAAACAAAAATGTGTTGCAAAACAGGAATCTAGGCCAATGACCTCCGGTGACCACTCTCACATCATTGCAAATGTAACATAGAAACTACTGTTTAAGCACCAGGGGCGTCGACACATATACGCATAAAGACGCACACATAAGGGCGAATGGGGGGGGGGGGAGGGGTTGCCTCAACATCTCTTCCTGCTACTTGATGAATGAATGAAATGGTGTCTGAAATGAGGTAGACTAGAAGGGCAGAATGTTAGACGGACGTGCGTGCCCAGTTCTGAACCCTTTGTAAATAAAGTTTGTTAGTTCCCACCTAACAAATTATTTGAAAAAGAGTTGGAGGGGGGGGGGGGGGCGGTGGGCATCCGAATGGCTGAGCTGTATGTAAAGTGTTTAATAATAAAAAAAAAATAAACAATACTAATGCACCGAATGGCAAATAGATATATGAGTATTGTGTATTGGTAAAATAAAATATATATAACTTAAAATTTAAAAAATAGTATCTGCATGGTGTGACGCATCTTAGTCTACTTACACAGTTATTGTGTGTGTGGGGAGGGGGGGGGGTGCTTAGTACCACTCCATTGAAGCGTAGCTGATGGAGGCGGGGCCTCAAGATACCTACTCCCCCAGGTTCCAGCACCCCTGGTAAGCACACGAAGACAGCTGCCACCAGTACGTTCAGTTCATTGCTACTACCCGACATTAGCATGTTCGTAGCCGACTCCCTGCCATCACCGCTCGAGATAAGACTTTTTATGTTTCCTAGTTGTTAGTTATGCCTATATTTTTTTTTTTTTTTTTGAGAGACGCTGTAGTATAGCGGCTAAACGCTCGCCTGCGGATCAGAATGTCTGGGTTCGAGTACGAACGAAAGCCGACTTTAAAAAAAAAAATAATAATTTGGCTCCCAGGTTGACCCAACTTTGGGTGGATGAATACCAGGTGAAGTCTTTGGAAGTAAAGACTGCTGGCGTGGTGTTGACCACGCATCGATTACCTATTGGTATATAAAATACTAGCTGTAACCGGCCACGCGTTGCTGTGGCCCAGAATGGTGAAATGGAGAGGAAAGAAAATAGCTCTCAGCTAACAGTGTCTGTCATACCCCCCCCCCCCCCCCTCCTCGACGTAGTCGTATCTCCCTTTCTGAAGGATTGAAAAATCATCTATGGCGAAATTATTAAAATAGAAATAGTTAAGAAATTAGAACTTTTAAATAATATTTTAAGCTCTCTCAGCTAACTGTGTTTGGCATACCTCCCCGCCCCCCCCCCTCCCTTTCCACCAATCATATCTCCCTCTCCGTAGGATTGAAAAATCATCACCTGACGAAATTATTAAAATAGAAATAGTTAAAAAATGATAACATTAAAATAATATTTTAAGCTCCCTTAGCTAACGGTGTCTGGCATACACCCCCCCCCACTCCCCAATCATATCTCCCTCTCCGAAAGATTGAAAAATCATCACCTGGCGAAGTCATATCTCCCTCTCCAAAGGACTGAAAAATCATCCCTGACGAAATTATTAAAATATAAATAGTTAAAAAATGAGAACTTTAAAATAATATTTTAAGCTCTCTCAGCTGTGTCTGTCATAAACCCCCCCCCCCCCCCCCCCGCCCTTTACCCCAATCATATCATCTTCTCCGAAGGATGGAAAAGTCACTGTGTAATGAAACAGTGTAACTAAATTGAGCTTGGCATCCGTGTCCACCCAGATTTAAAAAGGTAACATTAACCTGTACAGAGAAGTAAATGTAGCCAGTGTAATAGCTACCACATCACCCATCCAGTACCATTACTGCTGCAACTACTACCACCATCACAACAACAACAACAAAAACTGCCACTGCAGCCTGTGTAGGTCTGTGTAGAAAAGAGGAGTTAGCGCCACATGCTATCACCACAAACTATTTAAGTAAATTTTGCTCCCGACATAGGAAACAAAAAAACTTCATCACGTAACCAATGATGGAACGCACAGTGAAAAGTACACTATACTCACGAATAGCGGAGAAAAATACCTCGCACCTGTCATCTCTCCCTCTCCGAGAGAACGATTTTTAACTGACTTTGGCATCCTTGTCCACCCAAACTAAACTGGACTGTAAGCTGTCTTAGTTAACAGTTTCTGTCATCGCCGAATAGTTTTTGACCGAGAAGCGTAGCGGGGAGACTAATTAGGACTTAACTGAAATCTGATGTCTTTAGGCGAAAGGCGCAGATATCGCAGCCTAGCTGTAAACCACAACACAACGTGCCAACCACCCTTTTAAGGGAAAAAGAACAATTATCACCCAGCGGGGAATCGAACACCGGTCACCCGCGTGAAGGATGACATACTTACGACTGAAGAGTTTAGGTCAGATATCGCATCCTAGCTGTAAACCACAACACAATGTGCCAGCGGCCCTCTCGAGGGCGAACTGAGATTGCCAGTGACATGACCATTGAGTATCACGTCGCCGCTGTCGCAGGCTAGCTGTAAACCCCAAAACTGAAAAAGGCTTAGATATCGCAGCCTAGCCATAAACCACAAAACAAGGTGCCAGCCGCCCAGTTAAGGGCAAAAAAAAATTATATCACTTAGCGGGGAATCGAACGCGGGTCACCTGCATGATAGGCAGAATAGCTACCAACTACGCTACCAAACACTCAAGCAGATAGTGGAAATTAAATTATATAATAATGCAAAGTTCAATAAGAGCTCAGCAGTCAAATATGGCCAATCAACTAAAAACAAACCCGGGCCGGAAACGAAACAAATAATGATTTGACTGCTGCTGGAGCTACGTCGTTTGTGGTTTGTGCGATTTTCTGACAAAAATCACGATTATAGTCAAAGAAAATGTTGTGTGCAAATTTGAAAGCAATTGGTTCAGTAGTTTCCGAGTTTTTAGTTAACAACATTGGAAAATTAACATTTTCATTAATATAGATAGGCCTAACACTATATGCCTAATGAGCTTGAAGGTGTAGAAAAGAGTCCGTTACTTTGTTTTTACTTAGTTTCCTGCAGTCAGCCAGTGAGGTTGGAGTAGTATATTGAGTGTTTTTACTTCTTTTCAACAGAGAGGAAATAATGGATCTTTTACAAGGCGACCAACACATCATGAGATACAGGCCCGTTGCGTCTCTAGTGGAGTCTGGAGCAGTGTCCTTAATTTAAGAACTTACCACGCGGAACGTTGGTACAGGAGATGCATGTTTTAATTCATTCATCTTTATGTTTGCTAGTAATTGTAACATTCAGACAGATGGTGGTTGATAAAATCTCGCCCCCCCCCCCCCCTCTCCAACCCGGGTAGTTTCTCCATGCACACCTCCTCGCATGGGTTTCAAGAGTGGTCTCGAGAGCTGATTGTTCAGAGGGTATTGGCAAACTATGTAAGTCAATTTGTCTAGAAAAGCCACCAAAGATAAAATATGCTGTGGCTGGTTCTGCAACAGCCTGGTAGGACAGGCAACCAACTTTAAGTTTCTCCACCTGTGTCGAGTACAATAGTGGCAAAATGCAACTTCTGTATATTGCTTAGTTTACTATTGAATGTTTTTACTTCTTTCCAACAGAGAAGAAATAATGGATATTTTACATGGTGACCAACATTTTGGCTCTGTCAAAATTATTGACAGCTATAGACATAAACAGCACATTGATGATGAGTATCCTCAGATATTATGTATGTTAGTTAGTTCGACAGACTGTCGACTTTACACATCGAACCATTCGATCCAGGTCCATAAGTGTGCGGATTCCTTCCTTAGTAAATCCTGCAGGGTGTAGCCGCTGACTACACGAGTTCTATGTTGGTTACTTATTCTTCTTCGGCTTCCTGCATAGTGCTCTTGTCTCGTCACAACCTTTTTAACATGTTCCTGCAGTCTGGTCATGGTTGCAGATTTACAGTCATCACTTGGTTCTCGCAAGCGCTTTACTTCTCGTAGAGCATTCAGAATATCTGACTGGTCCATGGCTTCTCTGCCCTCTGCAGCAGCTCAACCTGCAAGCCTATCAGCTTGCTTCTTTCCTTGCACGCCTGCCAGCCCTGGCACAAATATGACACTGATTAATGTTAGCCCTAGCCACTTTAGATGTATCAACCAGACACTACAGCCAGTGTCTTCAAACCCAGCTCGTTTCTGTCAGTGAGCATAGTCACTGAGTCGCTGAGAAAGTATGGACAGGAAAAGGTCTATGTCTAAAGCCAAGTTACTGCTTTGATCACTGCCATCACCTCCACTATTGTCTGGAAAGACGGAAAGGTGCCAATAAATCAATCATCAATCACCTACATAGTAAAACAAAAATGTTATTGTACACTTATCGCTGCTGTATGGTGCAGAAACTTGGACATTGAACAGGCAACTGGAAAATCAAATTGAGTCTCTGGAAATATGGATATACAGATGAAAAGGTTGTATTTGATGGAAGCAAAAACAAAGCAATCAGTTACAAAGGTTCTGAAAAGACTGCAAATGAAAATGAATTACTGAAATAAATAAATATAAAAAGGAGATAATTGAAATATTGTGGCCACATTACAAGATGTAATATGCTTTTAAAAACATACTGGTGAACAAGAGCAAGAGGTAGAGAACGATACAAGTGGGAATACAACATCAACAGACGGACAAACTGCAGTCTGAGGGAGTTACAATCAAGACATGAAATCAAGCATGTTGGAGATCCATTACAACACATTCATTGTGGAAACCAAACCTGATTGATTGATTGATTGATTTGGTTTATAAATATTTTTGTGTGTATGTTTTAATTTATTGATTATAATACTGAAACAGGTTTTGTTGGTAAGAATTTTGGTTGTCCCTATTCTGTCTGTCTAGTACACTGTTTAGTATATTAATTAAATACATTTTTGTATGTAAGCATGTTTTGCTTCCCTTTATTCCCCCCCCCCCCCCCCCCCCCCCCCCACATAATGTTAACTACAATAAAAATTCAATTTCAGCATGTCCTTTTAGCTACCTTGGGTTCATCAAATCTGAAATTGTTTTTCTGAGCCATATTGACTTCTTTAGAAAAGACACATTGCTAAAATGTAAAAAGGGTACAGAGAGTGAATGGAAACATTTGTAAACATGTATAATTTTGGCAGAACATTTCTGTATTTATGATCAAACACTCCCGTTTTTACGGTGACCTAAATTTATAATGAATAATTTTTGCAAGTCTATTTTTACGAACTATATGTATTTTTTTGTAAACACATATATCCTTTCCTCCCGTTGTGTAAGCTTATCACGATTTATGCAAAATAAGATATGTAGAGATATGAACAGTCGTGTGTTTCTAAATATATAGGATGTATAGCTGGAAACACATACCTGTGTGAGTACAGTTTTAGAGGCAGCAGTAAGGGGGGGGGGGGGGGGGGAGAGTTCTCTAAAAGAGTATTTTTAGCTGCAACTAAACTGGCATGTTTGATTTCATTGCCTCAGTCTGCAGTTTAGGGCAATGGAAAACTGTTTTTAAGTGCTACCTGTTTTTGAGCTGCAAGAGTGTGCCAGGTTTTCTGTAGCTTGGACTTGTAAATTCTGAAGATGTTTTTTTTTTTTTGTAATTCTTTAACGGCTTGATCCCATGTTTTCTTTTCTTTTAGCAGTTGATGAACGTGAGAAAGAAATTTGTGGAGAAGTTGAGTGAATGAGTGTGTCGTCTGTCATCTTTGTCTTCATCTTAATGTTCTCCAGCTGTAAACTTTGGCAGAAAGGTGTCGTTTTTTTTATTAATTTCTGGACTTTTGTCTTGTGTACACATTACGTTTACAGTCTGGCTTAATTTGTATGCAGCCTGTTGGTTCTTGGGAGCCGCCGTGGTGTAGCAGCTAAATGCTTCCTGGTTGATCCAAAGGTCGCAAGTTCAGGTCCTGTCAGAGCCGGACTTTGTCAGAAATTGACCTTGGTTCTTCGATTATCATCAGTTCTCGTTATGCCTAGTGGCACATGAGGCTTCAGAGAGGACTTTCCATGCTTTCCTGTCCTGTGCAATCGTCAGTGCAGTTTTCCATGTCAAAGATGCCGCATTCAGGTCACTTTCCATCGTTCGTCTCCATGTTGTTTTTTGGGTGCCCCTGTTTTCTCTTTCCCTCTGGTGTCATGTGAGAGCTGTTTTGGCGGGTATATCAGGATTAATTCTCATAACGTGGCCAAGCCATTTCCATCTTTTCTTGGTTTTCATAATTTCTAAAGTTTCTTGGTTTGTTACTTGAAGTAGTTTAGTGTTTGAGATTGTATCTGGCCAGAAAATTATGATAATTCTACATAGACATGTGTGGTGAAAGGTGGACAGCTTGTGTGCATCCTTTTTGGTCATTCTCCAGCATTCGGCTCCATAGAGAAGAAATGCCAAAATGATGCTCTTGTAGAGTCAGAGTTTCGTTCCTCTGCAGTAATTGTTGGATTTCCAGGTTTGCCTCATCCTTCCAAAAGCAGCTCTAGCTTTGTTCAGACGTGACTTTGTGTCCTCTTCGGTCCCTCCCGCAGGTCCTTAAGCATGGTGAATGGAGTCCATCGTATGCCTCTCAATGTCCTGTCTACTGTGTTCTTTAGTATCCAATCAATCACAAGGTTGAAGAGGAGAGATGACATAACTCACCCCTGTCTTACACCTGTCTTTACTGGGAAAGATGTATTGTAATTTTTTATACTGCATGAAAAGTCTTTTTAGAAAAGAGCAATTATGTTGACTATTTTTCTGGAATTACATAATGTCGTAAAATTTTCCATAGACTGTCTCTATGGACGCTGTCAAAAGCTTTCTCAAAGTCCACAAAATTTATATATATATATACTTCTCTGCCATTCATTGCATTGTTCTAAAATGTTATGTATGGCGAAGATGTGTTCAGTTGTTCCTCTGCGCTTTCTGAATCCTTCTAGTTCCACTCGTAGGCATTTATCTACTCCTTTTTCAAGCCACATTATGATAATTTAAAAAAATATTTTGCTTGTTACTGAGAGTAGAGTAATTTCCCTCCAATTATTGCAGTCTGTTAAGTCTCCTTTTTTGGGGATTTGAACTATTGTTCCTTCAGTCCAGTCACCAGGAAACACTTCTTTTTCCCAAATATCCTTGAACAATGGTTCTAGAAAGCTAGCAGTTGTGTTGGGATCTACTTTGAGAAGTGCCTGGTGCTTTGTTGTTCTTTAAAGTGTGGATAGCTTTAAGGATTTCTTGTTTGCTTGGTGGTTCAGTAATAATGTCAATGTCCTGAGAGGCTGGTTGAATATCTGGGGGATTTTCAGGATCAGGTCTGTTCAAGAGGTCGGAGAAGTGTTTAGTCCACGGCATGTCTTGTTTTTGTTCTGTGGTGAGCAGTCTGCCTTGGTTATCTCTGATGGGTATGCTGTGATAATTGTTTCTGCTTCTGCAATTTTGCTGGGTAATTTTGTGTAGGGTTTGTAGATCATGTGCTTTGGCAGCATTTTCTGCTGTTTCTGCTAGATTTTCCATAAATCTTCTTCTGTCAACTCTGGCACTTTTCTTTGTAATGTCATTTAGTTCGCTATATTCTAACATTAGTTTGTCTTTCTGACATTCTGATTTAGTGTGATTTATAAGGCTCTTTGTTCTTTTTCGCTTGGCAATATAGTCCATGGTTTGACTGCTTATCCATTCTTTGTGATGTTGTTTCCTGGTTCCTAATATGTTGTTGCTTTTTGATTTGTATGTTTCTTTGATCTGGTTCCATCTGTCTTGAATGCTGATTGCATTTTGAGTGTCTGGGTCACTTGATAGGGTTTGAAATCTATTCTTGAGTTCTACTATAAATTTAGTGGCAATGTCTTTTTCTCTTAAAAGGTTAACTTTGTAGCATGCTGTCTGTGTTTTAACTTGCATGTGAACTTTTTTGAGTTTAAGTCGTAGTAGAGCAACTACAAGGTGATGATCGCTTCCTACATCTGCTTCCCTTTTGACACGCACATCGAGTAGGGACCCACGCCATTTTCTGTTTACCATAAAATGGTCGATCTGGTTTACATCTCTTCTGTTTGAGGATATCCATGTAAGCTTGTGTATATTCTTGTGAGGGAACAGTGTTCCTCCTATAACAAGTCTGTTTGCCGTGCAGAAGTCGCTCAGTCTTTCCCCGCTGTCATTAATTATACCACATCCTTGATTTCCCATTGATAGTTCTCTATTCAAGTTGTCGTTACCAACTTTTGCATTGAGATTTCCCATAATGCATAGAATATCATGGGCTGGTACTTTATCTACTACCTCTTGCAGTCTCCTAAAGAATGTTTCTTTATCTTCATCTTCAGCTTCATTAGTTGGTGCGTAGCATTGGATGATTTAAGTTTGGCATGTTTCCCATTGAATCGTGTTGTCATCTTTCATTAATTGGATGCCACTCAATGAGATGTTTTTGCACACCTTTCTATAAAATGAGTGCCACGCCTTGCAGAATGTAGGTTATCATTTCTTCCAGAGTATATTATGGTTTCTTCTGTACCTGTTGTGGTTTGTCCAAACCCTGTCCACCTGCTTTCACTGATTTCAAGAATATGCAGTTTATAGTTCTGCATTTCTTTAATTACTTGGGCGGTTTTGGCCGTTTCGAACATGGTTCTTACATTCCAGAAGCCAATTCTTAATTTGGTTTTGACATCCAGCAGACTTGTTTTCTCATCATGGGGCTTCCTTTTGGCTTTCACCCATGTTGTTCATGCTGACAGAGGGACTCTGTCCTAAGACCACCGGACGTTTAGAGCACTTATTTCCTCTTGAAGTTTCAGTAACGTTGTAGATTTTTTACAGGGCAGAGCTGTCAACACTGTGCCCGAGCCTGGAGGACCGGGAGGCCATCTTTAGTCTGGCCTCTCACCAGTGACCTGTCCAGCTTGGGTAACCCTGCCAGGAACATACGTTCCCTCCGGCATAGCTCACTAGATCACTGAGGCTCTCAAGCTCCCCCACCACTACAAGGTAATGGCCTCTGGGGGGAGGGTTCCTAGATTGACCCAGCCTGAAATGTGTACCTGGTAAAAGTCACGGGTAGTAAAGTTGGCTAGAGTGTTGTTGACCACAGCACTAACAAAGTGCCATAAAGTCTATAAAATATAATACTAGCATTACACGCCCAATACGTCTGAAGGCGTAGATAAGGATCCTTTACCTTTCTTTACTTGCTGTTGGTTCCTGGTCCCTCTAGAAGATGCACTCGGACCTCAAGAGAAACACTCTAATGTGTTGCATTTAGCGACATGCTTTTTTAGGGAGAATGGATCTTTTCCTTTTCTATCCAAAATTGGCACCCAGAAACTGACATGGTGTCATGTGTAGGAAATCTGAGAGATGAGTTTAGCGGATATGGATGTAGACATGTGAAACAGAGAGACAAATATGTGTGAGGGGCTGAGTGGAGTAGTTTCCTTTTTTTAAAAGTGTGTATGGAGAGAATTATAATGAGATTTGATTGTAACTGAACACATGTGTAATAAACTAGTGATTTCTGAACTTTATTCTACTGTGAATGGTTTAAGAGTTATGTTTTATTTTTCCCACAAATGTTTGTGATAGTATATTTTACTTTCAAAATTGGCTTGATTTTCTGTGCTGAATCCTGATCACAAACAATGCAATCATTGTTATAATATATATGTCTATGTTGAGGTTACATTATATAACTGTTGTTTGGAAAATGAAGGGTGGAAATAAAGGGAAGTGGGAAGAGACAACAAGAGAAGACGCTGGACAGCTTCTCAAAATTATGCTGCCTCTGCTGGGTATCAAACCTTGACCACTCACCGTCTTTGCAGACAAGTGCAGTAAGCAACCATGGCTGCTCGGGGAGACAATGAGGTTCACATGTAGATGGACTTCAATGTACCAGGTTTTATCCAGGACGTTCCCCGTGTGGGCTCCATGGCACCGTTTTGGGGGAGAGGAAGAACAGATCCACTGCCCTTCTAGAAAGCAGGTCGCAAGAGAGACTAATTTGGGGTGTCTTTTCTTCCAAGTTGGAGTGCTATTGCCTGAGAACAATAAGCTAACACTTTGCATTCATATAAGCTAGACCTGTAAAACGGACATGTACTCAAAACTGCAGATCTGGAACAAGACTTAAGTCAAGAAGTGGACGAACAACCATAACTTTTCTCCTGAGTCAATAGCTGGTGAATGAGAAGAAATAGATCCAACACCCTTGTGCTTAGTGGCTGATCTCTCAAGGAGAGCGTGACTCAAAACACCATGTGCCCTGAAACCAAATGATGTTTGTATATATGTGTATATTGGTTTGCTTAGGTGGTAAGACCTTTGTACAAGAAAACAGGTTCTGTAATCTATTAAAGGATTAGGTCATAAGTCAGGGATTGGTAATTAGAAACTCTATACCCAAACAATTCATGACTTGACAAAGGAAGCTGTTAATGTAATATCTATCATTATTCTTCTCATCTGCTTTGTAATTGAAGCTCAGTATTTGATTTGTTAGCAGACTGCTTAAATAGGTTTTGAAAATAATTGATGTGTTGAATAATAATAATATAGTCAGATTGTAACAAAAGTATGCTCTGAGGTTTGTGATTCGAATCGGGACCCCGTATTCAGTTTACTAGTGCAGTTGTAGTGATAATCCATATTTTTGGTGTTGTAGCAGCAGCCAAGGAGTTTCCTGCCAAGTAGGTCACCAAGTGAGTGATTAGCTGCTCT